CGCAGTCGCGCCCCAATTGGCAATCGTAGAACAGCTTGGTGTCCTCGACGCGCTCGGCGTCTACCAGCTTCTCGGTCGCCGCGGCTGCAGCGTCGGACTCGGCGTCGCTCTGGATGATGGGCGCCGCCGTGCCGCCAACGTGGTCGCCGCCGTCTGGGTGTCCAAGATCTTCGTCGGCGTCGGATCCGAGGCCCCCGTGCCCTGGGCGGGGGGCGTCAGCGCCAGGTGGGTCACCGAGGTCGGACGAGTCCACGTGCATCGGGGCCCCTCCCAAGTCGAGATGTGGATGATCCTCGCCGCCTGCGGGGTGGTCTGGATCTTCGGGCGCTGGGCCAGCTAACGAACTAGCGGCGAACCACTGCCCGATGGCGGTCAGAATGGCCAGCCGCCCGATGCCGCGACCTCCCAGCGCTGCAACCGCACCGCCACCGAGGCGCGCGATCGCATCGCCAACGGCAGCCCTGCCGTCGTTGGAGAATCGCCTCACAAGGACTAGAACGTCACCGGCATCGCTGCCGACTGCGCGCGCCATGCGGCCTCCAAGACGGACTAACAGTCGGAAGAATCTCACGAAGGCTACGCCCTGAGATCTGCGGGCGCCAGAGCTGCGGACGAGGATGAAGTGCCAGGGGTCTCAAGCTTGGCAACGCAGTCGCCCGACTCCGTGAGTGACTGAGGGCCCCTTGGGCGCCATGGGCCCCCGTGTGCTTCGTGGGCCTTGTGGGCTCATGCGCCTCAGCGGGCGCATCTGCCTCATCGGGCCCATAGGCCTCAGTGGGCTTATGAGCCCCATGGGGCCAACAGGGCTCATGGGCCTCATAGGCCTCGCAAGGCTCATGGGGCTCCTCGGCAACGTGGGGCCCCTTGGGCCCGTAGGGCGAATGGGCCTCATGAGGCCGACAGGGCTCTCAGCGCCTATAGGGCTCACGGGCCACGTCGGGCTCTTTGGGCTCATGGGGCTCATGAGACTTACAGGCCTCATAGGGCTCATGTGTCTCATGTGACTCATCGGCCTCGCAAGGCCATTCGGCCTCGCATAGCTCAGAAGGCTTACGAGGCTGGTTGGGCTCATGGGCCTCATTGGCCCCGTGGGCCCTACGGGCCTCAAAGGGCTCCTAAGGGCTCCTACGCGCCATGGGGCGCACAGGCCGCATAGGGCCCACAGGGGTCCTAACTCGACCGCGGCAATGGGAATGGCCGACGAGGGCTGACCACACTTCCCACTGCGCCCCCCCTCTCATGGCGTTCCCGTCAGGTCGCGCGGCAGCGCCGCGGGAGGCATCGCCGGGCATCACCTAAGTGGCAGCTCGTGCAGGTGCCTGCCGCATGCGATTGCACCTGGCGGTCTGGGCGGGTGCTCGCCAATCGCTGGCGCGCTGCTGGCCCCCCCCCCCCCCCTTCCTCGGCCGACCTCCCTGCTCCTCGCACCCCGTGCCCCATCTCCCGCGCCCCGAGCTCAGCGCGCTAGACCCGCGGCGCATGCGAAGAAAAAGAAGTGCCCTATGGCGAAACGATGGCGCGCTCTTAGCCAGCGTCCGCCACGGCCTCGCGGCGAGCGCGCCTGCTTGGCTCCTTCTGCGGCGTGACAGCGCCCTTCCTCTTATGAGATGGGCTGGCCGCAACCGAGCTCGCGACGGGGGCGCTGGAGGAGCTCGCCCCTGAGGAGGTTTGGACGTCCATCAGCGCAGGCTGCGGTGAGAGAGTCCACGACGTCTTGCTCCTCACTCTCGACTTGGACGCGGCTTCCGAGCGGGCCTTAATCAAGGCCTCGTCACGGATCCTGTTGGTCCTCGTGTGGCGCGAAACGTGCGCGCCTCCACGAGACTCTTTTGCGTCTGGGCTGCCGCGTTGATGCGAGCGGCGGCTGTCTCGGCAAGCTCGCGGAACATCTCAGAACGATCGCACGGCATGAATTTGCCGGGGCCCTCGTCCTCATTGAAGCAATCGCAGGGAAGGAGCTCTGCTTTTTTTCGAACTTGAAGTGGCAGTTCTTGTCGCTCATGGGGTCCACCAGCCTGAAGCGATGGTCGATCTTGTCCTGCGGCGGCACCGCGGCGGTCTCACCCGTGATGTAGATGATCTTGGCCACGAGCCCGTCCGCCCACACCGGTGTATAAAGGCAATGTGGGCGGAAGTCTATGCTGCCATCGTCGTCAATGTCATCGGTCTTCCACTCGTCAGCACGGCGGCCGACCTGAACGTGGCGCAGCCTCAACGCCTCGATGAAGACGGGAACGAAGCGAGCCTCGTCGGGGATGTGATCTTCCGGGTCAAGCTGGACCTGTTGTTCCACCATATTATTGAGAGCATGCGGGTTTTGGTCTTCGATGTCGTCCACATCCTGCTCGGTGATGCTGGTACCCAGCTTTACGTAGACTGTGACGTATATATTGTTGTCCAGTTTGCCGACGCTCGCAGTCATAATCCCCTCGGAACCCTTGGAACATGGAGAAGACGAGTCGGCATCCTGAGGCGGATCTGCATCGCACGCTACGTTTGACTCGATGCTCGCCCAATGGTGATGCTGGCCGTGTACGGTTTCATCATGCAATGGTTGATGATGCGTTTGGTGGCAGCGACACTCGTGGCTCTCATGTTGTCAACGGTGGTGCCCTTTCCAACTACATGAGCGGGAACCATCTGGGATAACTGGCACAAGCCGTCTGGGGCGCGCTTCCTCGGCATGACGTCGGACTTCCAAAACTTTGAGGCGGAACCAGGCATTGTCAAACTCAGCGATCCCGAGCTCGGATGGCCCTGATGATCCGAGAGGGCCTACGTTCGCAGCTGCTGTGGCTGGGTTCGCAAAAAAAAACCCGAGCTTACGTGTTTACGGATGTACTGGGGCTGGGGGTGGCCACTTGAATGGTTTCAGATATTTCCCCATGTTCTTCGCTGCGTCTCTCAAAAACCATCGAAGAAGGAGGATTGTCAGGACTACTGTTTTGACAGATTTTGATACCTAGCGCCACTCAGGTCAGACATGTGGAATGCCGTGAACCTGTCACGTGGATCCTGCGAATGAGCGCAGAGGCACTGGGCCAATATGCAATGCTCTGAAGCAATTTGGGATCAACCTCGCGGCCCCGAAACACAGGGCGGGGGGGGGGTGAATCACAAGACTGTCGTTTTGAAAAAAGCTTCTACCCTTCAAGCCGATGCCACTGCGTATAACAGCTGCCTCACTGACCCCTCCCCCCCACCTTCCTCCTCCCCCGTAGCCGATTTGGCTCGACTGTCAAACGACAGCGTCGCCAACGCTGCAGAGCGATCACGATCGCCGAACCGAATCAGGGCTGCGCTGGCCAGGAGCGCATATGGGGGCGGGGATGCAATTCTGGCTCCTGGCCATCCTTGGAGCTGCTGCAAATTTCAAGCTTCATGATCCGAACTGGTGAGGGAGTCTCAGACAAAACGTCCGGCCCGCCCTGCCGACGTGTCTGGGGGTGCGGCAAATAGAAGTCACCTATGCAAGGAAAAGGGACGGTGGAGGAGGAGGAGCAGGAGGAGGAGGAGGAGGAAGGAGGGAGGAGGAGGAGGAGGAGGAGGAGGAGGAGGAGGAGGGAGAGGAGGAGGAGGAGGGAGGAGGAGGGAGGAGGAGGAGGAGGAGGAGGAGGGAGGAGGAGGAAGTGGAAGAGCAGAGGGGGAGGAGGAGGAGCGCCCGTGGCTCCACAGGCGTCGTGGGCTCTGGCCGTACGCCGCCGCGGGCGCCTCCCAGACCGCGTGTTGGTCCCTCTCCTCCCCTCTCCTCCCCTCTTTGGTGATTGTCGGGCGAGTCCTGGGCGGCTCGCGCTGGAGGTGGGCCATGCGCCGGGGCCCCAGTGTGACGGGCGGCTCGCGCCAATTGCTGTGCTCATCGGGATCTGAGCTTGGCGCTGCAGTGTGCTGACACGCGGTGGGTGGTCCTTGCCCTCGTGGGCATTCGCACACTCGTCCCGGCACTGAATCGGGGGGGGCCATCCGCCCCCGGTGGCGCTGGCAGCGCCCTGGGCGGGCAGGACGACAGGGAGAACAGAGCGGCAGACGAGCAGGGCAAACCACCCAACGCACAGACACTAGAGTCCTTACGTGCTCTGGACGTGCACCCCGCGAAGCGAGAGGAATCCATGTCCAGAGGTGACGTGCTGAGCGGCAGCGCTTGATGGCCCAAAGAGGCCAACAAGACGGTCCAGGAGGCCCCCAAGACGTCCCCAGAGGACCCCAAGTGAGTCCGGAGGCGGCTCCGAGAGGCCTCCAAGACGGCCTCCGAAGCGGCCAGACGTCGCAAGAGCGCCCCAAGACGGCCCCAGACGCCCCCCAGAAGGCCCCCAAGAGGCCCCAAAGGGGCCCAAAGAGGCCCTAAAGTGGCCTCCGAAGTCCCCCAAGAAGCTCCCAGGAAGCCCCACAACGGCTTGACTGTACGTGCTCCAGACGTGCACCCCGTGAAGCGCGAAGAAGCTTCCCCCGGCAACATTGAATACTTCTCCCAGCCTTCTTGTACTGGCTCACTCTCGTAAACGGAGGACGGGTTCCTCCTGCCCCTGCCCCTGCTCCTGCTCCTGCTCCTCCTCCTCCTCCTCCTCCTCCTCCTCCTCTTCCTTCTGCTCATTTTCAGCACCATCCTCCTCCCCCTTCTTCTCCTTCTCCTCCTCCTCCTCCTCCTCCTCATCATCATCATCATCATCATCATCATCATCATCATCATCATCATCATCCTCACCGCCATCATCACCATCATCACCATCATAATCATAATCATCATCATCACCAGCATTATCAACATCAACATCATCATCATCATCATCAGCATCATTATCATCATCATCATCATCATCAACAACAACAACATCAACATCATCAGCATCGCCACCACCATCATTACCATCATCAACAACACCATCATCAACATCATCATCACCGACAGTAGCATCATCCTAATCATCATCATCATCATCATCATCATCATCAGCATCAGCATCAGCATCAGCATCAGCATCATCATCATCATCATCATCATCATCATCATCATCATCTCGCCTCCTCCGCGTCCCGTGCTTCTCTTCTCGCATCCCATGCCGCTTGACCTTTTCCAGGTAGTGCGTATGCACATGTCGACATGCAGTCCAAGCGTCGACAACAGTGATTGTTCTTGACGTTCTGCACGTACCTGTTCGGGGCCTCCTCGGCAGACAGCCCGTACTCGGATCCGCCACTGTAGCTCTGCCACGTAAGTGGAGAGCCCTCCTTGTTGGCCCCAGTGTTGGACCATTGGAATACAGTATGGGCCCGCCCACAAGAAACCTTCCACAAGAAACCCAACCCTGAGACCCCAGGACGTCCATTGATTTTTGGTGTGGGAACGTCACGCTTTCCATAGCAAAGCAATCGAAACCAAAGAAACCCAGGGCACCCTGGAGGCAAGCAGGGTGTTTCTTGGCATGGGTCTCTATTGTACTCAGACGATCATGCAGGGCGCGCTGACATGCTGGGGAGCAGCGGATACGGCGAGTGGGCGCCAGATCTATGGATTTGGGAAACTACCCCCCGACGCCTGGCGTCAGTATCGCCTCGTTTGGGGATGGAGCACGTCGATCTCGTACGGAAACGGGGCCCGTGGCTAATCCGCGCGCCGTCATCCATGTTTGCACTTCCTCGACCGTTCAGGGCCACGGGACCCCCGTTAAGGTAGTCCGACTAGGCGCCCCGGAAGATCCCAGGAGGACTCCAAGAGGCCCCGACTGTCCGAAGAGGCCTCCGAGTGGACCCGGCAGGCCGCGCAGGGCCAACCGTGCTCTCCCCCGGGGAGCTTGGCCCGCGCCCTCTTGAGCTCGAGCCCGAGCCCGAGCCCGAGCCCTCCTTCCCCGCCCCCCCATCTCCTGGCTTGTCCGCCGACCCCGCCCACGCCAAGCCTCCTGCCTCTCCCCCGGGGAGCTCGGCCGCGCCCTACCTAGGGGGCCACATGCGAACCCCACCCCTACCCCCCACGATTTCCGAGGGGGAGGGGGGGGTTCACTCCGTTCGGGAGCTCCCGAGCGAAGTGAACCCCACCCTCCCCCTCAGGAATCGTGGGGCTTAGGGGGTTCGCACGTGGCCCCCTACTGCCGGCTTCCACGGAACCGGCAGCAGTCCCAACCGTGCCCCCGAGGGCGCCTCAGTGGCCCCGAGGCCACACAAGAGGCGGCCGCTGCCTGTGCAGCGCTCTCGCGCGCCAAGGAGGAGGAGGAGGAGGAGGAGGAGGAGGAGGAGGAGGAGGAGGAGGAGGAGGAGGAGGAGGAGGAGGAGATGGGCCGAAGGCCGCCAGAGCTGCCCACCCGCCGCGGTGTCGCAGATTGGGCGCGGCGCGTGCCGAGGCGAGGCAGCCGCCCGCGGGCTCTGCCGTGCAGCCCCCCGCGACGGTCTTCGCGGGTCGTCGGGCCCGTCGCGCTCCTCTCTCCTCTCTCCTCCTCTCCTCTCTCCTCCTCCTCCTCATCCTCCTCCTCCTCCTCCGCCTCCTCCTCCCTCCGCCTCCTCCTCCCCTCCTCCTCCTCCGCCTCCTCCTCCTCCTCCTCCCCCTCCTCCCCCTCCCCCTCCTCCTCCTGGCTCCCGTGGCGGTCATCGCCAGGGAAGTTCGGTCGAGCGGCCAGCACTCTGCCATGATGGCGCGCAGCGCGGCGTGGCACTGGTGGATTGCGCCGCGCATCGCTGCGTAGCATGGCATCGTAGCTAGCACAGCATCGCACGGCATGGCAAATCCAGTGATGGTATCATTACGTACGTTCGATCCTGGCGGCATTCCGTAGTATTGCACGGCGTGGTCATGTCTTGTCTCATGTTGCATGGCGTGGTATTGCACTGCACAGCCAGACGTAACACGGCATATCATAGCATATCATTGCAATGTGGCGCATAGCACTGCGCAGCATGGCATCACATTGCGTTTATTAGCATACGACTGCATCATACAGCACAACACAACAGAAAGTTGCCGAAACAATTCGCAATACAGCAGCACTGCATCACATTATACCATAGCGAGGCATTGAATAACATAACATGGCACTGTTACCATTATTTCGCATAGCATTGCGTAGCGCAGCATACCTTTGCAAATCCGCCGACACGTTGGGGCTTCATCGGCGTGTGATATGTTCCTCCTCCCCAAACCCCTCCCTCGGGAGCCTGGTCCGGTCGATTTGGATGGGGGGGGGCCCAGGAGACCAGCCGAATGCAGCACGGGGGAACAGATAGTTCCAAAACAGGCCAAGACGGTACCAAGAGGCCCTCCGGACTGTCCAAGGGAGCCACGAGCCGTCGAAAGCTCTATCCAAAAGCCCACGCTGGCCTCCAGACGGCCCCCAAGACGCCCCCTAAACCCTCAACGTGCGTCCCAAGCTGGTCGCAAAGAGAAAAGATCGCCCCAAAAACGAGCATGTTTAGCACATTCGCTTCTTCTGCATTCACAACGTCCTGTCCTGAATCGCCCCAAGACGGCCCAAGAGGCCCCCAGGAGGGCTCCCAGACGGCCCAAGAGGGCCCCAAGGCCGCTCAAGAAGCCCCAGGAAAGCCCCATGAGGGGCCCAGTGGGGGACCCCGAACGAACATTTCGAGCCTTCGACCCCAGACCGCCCCCTGGCTGCCCAAAGACGCCCCCAACAGGCTCCCAGGGAGCTCCGAGAGGCCCGACAAAAAGCTCCCAAGAGGCCTCCAGGCCCCCAAACGGATCAACTACTGCTTCCCCAACGCCCCCAAGACGCCTCCCACGACACCCTGTCTGCCATCCGCGTGGCCACAGACCCGCAGCCCAGGCACGGTGGCGGGATGTGCCCAAGTCCAGTGGACAATCGAAAGAGCTTCAAGAAGCCCCCAGAAGGTGCCCAAAAGGCTCTCGGGAACAACACACACACACACGCACGCACACACACACACACACATACACGCACACACGCACACACACGCACACACACACACACACACACACACGCACACACACACACACACACACACACACACACACACACACACACACACACACACACACACACACACACACACACACACACACACACACACAACAACCGCCAGTCCCCAAAGGGGTCGGAGGTGTGGCGTAAGCCAGAGCATCATATTTTTTGACATAGCAAGGACTTGTTTTCCATATAATAGATGCCCGCGACCATGGCAAATACCAAAGACCTCGTGGGCAACCCCGGAAACCCATGGCGATGGCCGGTGACCTCCCGGGGAATCCTGGGGGATCCGGCAGGGAGGCCTACCATTGCCGCCAGCCCCGGTGCAGAAGAGGAGTCAGAGCTGCCAGGCGAACTGCAAATGGGGGTTCAAACCTGAACCTCGAAATTCCCCCTTGGCGGCAGGCGGAGCGTGGTCACAAGAGCGAGGACAACCACGAACACACCTGTTCCGTCGCAGCACGGCAGGCCCAGACCCCCGACGTCGTGACTGTTGTCATTACGTCGAGTCCTGAGTCGTTTTTTGGCGGTCCCGATGGCCGGTAAGGGCCTCCCGAGGCCGAAAGGAAGAGAAAAACCTCCCGTCATGATGTTGTCGCTGCCCGAGGGGGGCCTGGGGAGGCAGTCTGCACGAACGCCCGCGGTTGTCGGGGACGCTCCACTGCTTCATGGCCCAAGAGCTGGGGCGAGGGCGCGGGAAGGCAGCGCGGCCGCGGCGGGAGCGCGGTCAAAGAGCACAGGCCCCTCCGCTGAAGGCCCACGGCCCCATGAAGGCACCCAAGACTGAGGTCAGGTCGGGCCTGTTCCCCTGTAGGCGGAGTTTGGGCGGAACATTGAAAGTACACCCAAAAACACTCGAAACTGAGAGATACTGTTGAAACGTCGTCCCCAGACTATGTCTTGACCATCTTGGGAGATCCCCCCTGTAGAGGGAAAGGCCCGACTTAAGATTGAGGGCAATCCGAGGTCGAGCGCCCAAGCACGAAGAACATCGGGGCACGAAGGACGGGGTTGTTCCTGGCCCTCGCGCCAGCTATATCCCAGTGCTTTTCGGTTGCCGAGCTCTTCGGCGCAAGATGGCTCCAAGAGGGTGCCCCGAGAGGCTGGCCCCAAGGCCCATCATGGCCAGGAGCCGGCGCCCGACGGCCCCAAAGCTCGTTCAACGAGGGCCCCTTGAGGGCACAAAGACGGGCCAGGATGGCACACAGGACAGCTGCAAACAACAATCCTAAGAACGTTCCGACGAGCCCAAGGCTGCCCCTGAGAGTCCCGAGACGACCCCAGAGTGCCACAGCACCGCCCAGCAGCCCCCCGGGAGGCCTCAGAGACGGCCCAAGGGGGCCCGAGAGAACCCCCAAGACTGCCCATTGCCAAGAGGGAAATCGCCAGGAAGGACCAAGACGCCCCTGGATCAGACAACGAGGCCCGAAGAGGAGCCAGATGCTCCGATGTGCGCTTTCGACCACGATGGGGGCGGCAGCGGCTCGCCGGAGGCGCTTCGATATCATGATTGTTGGCAAGACCCGCTCCAGTCCAAATGCATCCCGGCAAGCTCTCGCACGGCAGCTGGAGTTGTAGCCAGGCTCCCAGAGGGGCAGCCACCGAGAGACGGCGCGGTCGAGGCGCGGGTTCTGGAGCAGCGGTGCGGAGCGCGCCCAGTACGCGCTCCCCGCAGCCACGAGCCACTTGTCGCGGGGGGGGAGGGCAGCGCCGTGGTCAAACATGAAGTCCCAGACGTCTCGCATGTGTGCCAACGGGCCAGGCTTCCCATCCCTCGAGACGTTGAGAAATGCGTAGCAGGACAGGTGGTCATACGACTGCTCAACTTTGGTAAGATTGGCCATGTCGTCGTACCCCCATGTGAGGGACCAAGGTCCCATCAGGCCCAACTCTCGTTGATGGTCGAAACGGTCGAATACCTGCTTCACCTGCTCTGTGCTTCCGCAAAGGGACGTTAACATCTGGCACCGCCATTCATGCCTGCCTTTGCTATGCACTTTGAGCAGAATCTCGTATTGCGAGGGATCGCGCACTTGCTGAATCTGTTGAAGAAACAAGCCCACGTCAGCGGCCTTGTTTACGAGGGTGCTGTTAATCACCAATCGCGCCTGGTACTCTCCCCCCACGTTCCGCCTGCGAACAAGCAAATGGGCATCTTCCTCGATGCTGGAATTGCCGGCCAACAACCCGATGTACACATCCACGTTCCGTGTCAATTGAGCCCCTCGCTGAGAGATGGGACGAGCACCGTCCAGCACGTTTGCGACGCACTCCCGAAGATGAGACCAGTGAGAATGGTTCGCCATCTGCACGAAGACCGCTACAGCTGACCTCGAACGCCCGCTCCATCGAGAGGCGGGCGGCAACTCCGATGCTGCAAGCCCGCTCGGCAGTGAAGCCGGCGGCGTTGCCCCGTGCGTTAACGAAACAGGAGCTGCCTTCTCGGGTCGCGGAGTCCGGCCCAGGTCTTGGGATGCCACAAAACGGAACGTGTGAAGAGCCATCGCCAGCATCGATATAACAGCAGCACCACAAAGATACACCGTCTTGCGTGCTGGCGCACGTTGAAGCAACGCACTCCACATCAAGAACTCTACTCACACCGATCTCGGGAGCGGGCAACCTGGCTAGACCATGAAGCATGCCGTCTGTTAAATTGAAGCAGTTCGGGCCAACACGGCTGTGGACATGACTGAGCGAGAGAAGCCCGATGAGGCGTTTTCATCCCCCCCCTCAGGAGCAGAACAGCTGCGACATGGGCAGAGGGACTTGCTGGGAGCAGCTGTAGGGTGGTGATGATACACTTGACCCCGAAGATGAAGGTGCCAAAAGAGAAAGCCAGCGCCTTGCACGAGTGACTGCCCGTGAGGAACAGGACAAGCCCCACGAGGAGTGCACACCGTGCGAACATAGAGGTCAGCCTAAGGACCCTGGCCTGACGAGGAGGCACGACCAGGACACAGGCGCCCCAAAGCCCGTCGGCCGACCCCAGAAACATGAAGGCTCATCACGTTCGGACGCAGTCAACCCGTTTAGTAACGATGTGCGATCAGGATGCAAGGGCCTTGGAAGGCCGTTTCGAAGCTTTTCGAGCGGGGCGCGGCCAGCTGAAGTGGCCAAGGATGAACCGAGGGTCAAGAATGCAAGGGCAACCTTGGGAAGGTTGCCCATCCTTACTATGCGGGCTGACTGCACCGGCGGAAACATCAAAAGTGTACTAGAATCCGCGAGGACAGACCAAAAGGCCTCCGAGACGACCCAAGAGGACCCAACACGCGCACGACACGCCCAAAGAGACGCCGCAACTAACGTCTCCTCTTCCCATCGTTGCTCGTCGCCCTATCTCGTGCATTGGACCGATCGCCAACGGGAGAACGAACGACGGAGTCAGCGCTAAGCTCCACTCGGCTTGTTTGTCAGCCGACCATCCGTTCAGACGCTTGCTCCCAGGGACGGGCTTTGGGCGTACACGTGCATTGGGGGAAGAGCAGGGAGAGGGTCCCGCGGAGGGGGAGCAGGAGGCGCGCGCCCGGAGCCAGGCCGCCAGCTCGAGATGCGCAAGGCAGCTCAAGAGCGAGGGCCGAGCTGACGCCGCGGATGCGGGCGAGTCCCGCCCCTCAGAGGAAGAGGGCGCCTGCTTCCACAGCGGCGACAGAACACACGAGGGCACGTCGTGCAAGGCTTGGACTGGAGCGACCCGTTTTTTTTGTTGGTTGGCGACCAAGGCCTCAGCGTGCTGCCATTAGTCAGGAGGGGAAGAAACACACAGACACAATGAATCGTCGATTCCCCAGAAAATATGGGACACTATGGGCAGTGGGGGGAAGACAGAAACCCAGAAAATATGGGAAAAGATCGGACATCTTTTTGTTTGTGTATTTATTTGTGTGTCCCAGGGCCCCTTAGTGACGCTGGCCAAGGAGCGAAGTGGCTCTTTCTGCCACGGCGGACTCCGGCCGCGAGTGGGTCCCCCGACCTGGATCTGAGGAGCAACCTGAAAACTACAGACAAAAACCCTAATAAAGGACGCGCGGTAAGGACGCAAGACCCTTGGAAGCCGAAGTTGGGATGCCTGGGGCAGCGGACGACGAAAACCCCAAGGACGCAAGAGCAAGGAAGAGCAAGGACGCAAGGGTACCCTGAGCAAAGTCGCGCGTCCTTATTAGGGTTTGGGACTATGAACTGCAACCAAAATGATCCGTAATTGCACTTCTTGAGTGTCGGGGACCTGGAGGAACAGGAGAGTGATGTTCGCGTGAGAGTGCTCGGTTCAGGCGGCGTAGAGAGAACCAGAGGAGCAGTGCCACGGAGCACAGCATGAGGACAACACAACCTGACCTAGCGTACCGTTTGATTGATTGATTGATTGATTGATTGATTGATTGGTTGGTTGATTGAAGGAGCCACCTGCGCCATCACTCATTCCTCCACCGTTCCCCCTCCCACCCCCCCTCTCACCATCCTCGTTGTCATTATTTGATACCCCTAAAATTAGCACTGCCCCCCCTGAAACTGGCGAAAGCAAGAGGAGGGGCCTGCGATCCGGTCAAGCAGTCTCCCTCTCTGCAGGAGCACGTCTACGAAGGACTGCTAGCAAGAATGCAAGGGCCACGAAGTTCCGGATCGACACCACACTTCGGACCTTCAAACACATGAAGCAGTCCTGGAAACAACTGAGGGGGGCCTCGCTTAAGGCCGCCGAGGCAGAAGTTCCCGGCTGCGCGCACTTTTGCAAAGATGGAAAACACATGAGAATAACTATTGACTATAGCCCGGCTGAATCTCCGCCCCCGTGCCTTGCGCACGTCGATGCCAAAGGATTTCGAGTAGGGCTTCTGTATTCCAAGTAAGGAGATCCCCCACCCGACCCGCGTCTCACTGCATGCTCGGCCCCCCCTCATGTTAGCCAGCGTCGACCCCAAACAGTGAAGTCTTGCAATGTATGCGGTGCAATCAAGGTGGTACAACCAAAGTGGTGCAATCTAGGCGGTGCTATCCATGTGGTGCAATCTATTGTTTTGATCTGCGGCTCCAAGGACGATTCCAGAGAGCAGGTCGAAACAAGCTTGGGGCAACAAGCAAGATAATTGCCAGCGGGCCAAAAGCCAACGCCGGAATGCACATGCGAGGAACAAAATGAACCTCATTAAGCCGATCCAAAACGGCAGCCGACGACTGACAGCGGGGCGTCGCACAGTGGCGCCAGCACCCGACAGACCAGACACCGAAGGGCAGGGCACAGCGGGCAGCTGAAACCCTGGCAGAAACCCGCCCGTGAAAGTGCAACGAAGGCGAACCGAAAGGAGCACGTAAGCCTCACTCACAAAGCACCTCATGTGCTCGAAGCTGGCATCACAGAACCAAGCGCCAGCGGACTTGACGTGAAGTCGAGTAGAAACACCAATGCACAAGGGGGGGAACGTCACGTGGGCCAGAACGTTATCACCAGCCGTCGGCTGTGAACTGCCGGTGGGCGAAAGACGGGGTGGTGCAATCTACGCGGCGCCAAAAAAAGCAATCCAAAGCAATGCAACACAACGCAATGCAATGCGACTGCAATGCATTAAATGCAACGCAATGTTAAGCAGTACAACGAAATACAAATCCATGCAACGCAATGCAGAGCAATGACAAATATTGCAATGCGATTTCGCTGCAGTGCAATTCCAAACAATGCAAATCAATGTAAGTACACATAAAGAAATGCATAGCACTGCAAAGCAAGGCGCAGCAATTCGATTGCGAAACCATGCAACGCAAAGTACCGCACTGCGAAGCAATGCAACGAAATGCAAAGCAATGCAAAACAATGTAACCCAGTACCACGCAGTGCAAAGCAACGCAAATAAATGCAACACGATTCATCGCAACGGCAATACAAAGCAGTACAATGACACGGTATGCAAAGCAATGCATAGCACAGCGGCAACATGAAGCGCAATGCAAAGCAATGCAAAGCAATGCAACGCAATGCAAAATTATGCTGAGCAATGCAATGCAACGCAAGGCAACGCGCAGAAACGGACAGCAATGCGGGGTAATGCACATCACTACAAAGAAATAAAAACCAATACAAAGCAGTGCAATGCAACGCAATGCAATTCAATGCACAACAATGCGAATCAACACCACGCAGAACAGTGCAAAGCAACCTTAACGCGATGTGAAGACATGCAAATCAATGCAAAACAATGCGAAGCACTGCAAAACAATGTAACGCAATACACAGCAACGCAAATTCAAAGCAACGCAATTCTAAGCATCACAAAGCAGTACAACGCTGCGCACCGCAATGCAACGCAGTGCAAAGCAATGCAAAACCATGCAGCGCAATGCAACGCAATGCAAAGCAATGCAAACCAATGCAACTCAATGCAACGCAAAGCAGTGTTGTGTTCAATCTGATCCTTTTATTTATTGCAGCGCCAAGCAGTGTAACGCAAGGTAATGCACAACATCGCAGATCAATGCAGCACAATGCAAACCATTGCGCATCAGCACAAAGCAATGCAACGCAATGCCAAGGAATGCAAAGCAATACAGATCAGAGCAAGTCAATGCAAAACAACGCAGATACATGCACACGAACACAAAGCAGGGCCATGCGACTCCACAAACCACGCGGAGCAACTGGAAGCGACAAAAAACAAGGCAACACGACGACGCGCGACGCAGAGCAATGCGATGCAATGCGACGCAGAGCAACGTCAAACGAGGCAAAGTCAATGCGAAGCCACTCCGCGCCATGCAGTGTGAAGCCATCCAGCGCCATCCGATTGCCGGCGGCGGCGACGGACGTCCACGGCCCCAGCGGCGACGGGCGGCGACGGGCTGCCACGAGCTGCCCGGACCAGCACCGGGGCCCAGCGACGACGGCGGCGACGGGCGGCGGCGACGGGCGGCGACAAGCCGGCCAGACCCGCTCGGGAGGTCAGACAGCTCAGAGACGAAGCAGCACTCCCTAAATTCAAGCACTCCTTGGGGCACCGTGGGTCCGCGTCCCCGAGGCCACGACCCATCGCTGAGACACGATGGGTCCAGGCCCCGAGCGTCCAAGGCGGCCCATGCGGGCAACCAAGGACACCAGGGATGGCCCAAGGTGCCTCGAGGACGGCCCAGGCTGCCCCCAAGGCGGCCGAATCTGACCTCAAGACGGACCGAGATGCCTCCAAGGGGGACCAACAGGGCCACAAGAGGACCTCCAACGGGGCCCGAAGACGCCGAAATCATGGACCCCCCCGTAGGTTTTGAACGGTTTTCGCATTCTCGCCTTTTCGGGCTGCACGGTGCAAGAAGCCTCCACGATGGCTCCAAGACGGCCTAAGGCCCCCAAGAGGTTCCCAAGATGCCCAAGAAGTCCCAGGATGGCTCAAGGGGCATCCGAGACGGCCCCAAAACGGCACAAGAAGGCCTCCCGTGGGACCCAAGACTGCCTTAGAAGGCCTTTCGGCGGCCCAAGACAGCCCACTGATACCCAACATATAGCCAAGAAGGCCCTAAAACGGCCTAAGAGAGACCCACGTCAGCGTAAGAGAGCCCCACGACGGCCAGAAGGGACCCCCAAGACTGCCACACAGGAGGCCAA